CTTTCAAATTTCTTGTAAATGTTAGATAAAAAGATATCACCTTATGTGCTTCTTGACACCAAAAGCTAACAAGAGGTCTCCACCGATGTTCATTAATAGTTATTGGTCTACCTTGTATAATTTGTTCTAGAGATCTCTGCTCAGATTGAAATGTTCTTTCTTCAACTTAGATTTGTAGGCTCGCCACCTATTGTTTACAGTTCTTAAGATCCAATCTCTTGTAAGTGTAGCGTTTGTCTAGGAAAGACAAATTTTGACTGTACAAAGAAAAAGTAAATAGTTGATGATTGGAACAAACAATAGTGTACTTTTCTAGCATTGTACAGATTACATTTACCTCAACATCCATGATTATTAGTTCCTTGTGTTTATTGAATAGAACATTGTCCCATCTTTGAATGTGTAATGGCGCAAATGTTTGTGTTTGTGCTAGATCACCAAGGTGTTGTCCAAGAACAGAGGCTGACCTTTCATTTGGTACACCATTTTCATCGGTCCCTACAATTACCTTTCCTCCTTTTAGTTTTGATAAGTCTGAGACTCCAAAATCTCCTAAAACTTGTCGCACCTGTCCATTAGGCCCTACATGTATGAAATTATATTATTTGACATTGTATTTAGATGTGCCACCAAAACAAAAATCAAACTTACATATTATCTTGATTGGACTTGCACGTCGGTTTGGCATGTGGGCTAATATATTGTCAACATCTAGAGGACCTTGTAAATTCTCCTCAATCTCATTATCTACCAAATCATCGGGCTCCTGTTGCTCATGTCTTTCATCTTGTGCTTCAAGGTTCAAGTTTCTTAATCGTCGAGGTCCTCTTGCCATGATTTCTACTGCAAAAGAGCAGTTTTAGTTTGCTGCTCAACAAACAGATAACCAAGAAAAGTTTCAATGCTGATCGTAAATCACATAGTGCACTCATAAGATGTCGCACGGAACCAACACAGTGAGAACCATACATACAGAGGGGGAAATGAAGAACATGAATCTTTCGACAGAAAAAGAGAGATGGATAAGTATAAATTTGTAGCCCCGATGCGCTCTAGTAATCTACACAATGGGATCATTAGATTTTCACAGAGAGTGACAAAACCGAATAAAGAGAAGTCATAGAGCCAAATAATTACTCCATACAAAATCCACGAGTCAAATAACTACTCCATACAAATTTCGAGAAATCATAAAGCCAAATAATTACATATAGTTAATAGATGTTTCATGGAGTAAATTTAGATCAATTTTATACAAAATCGTGTAACACTAAAATACAAACAGTAATCATAAACAATGTTATATGTTTTCATATAAGAAATAAAATTGTCTTTTTATAAGAATTGTTCAGAGCTCATAACTGAGGTTGAGTCCTATGTTCACGAAAAGAAATTCTACTAAATTCACATGTACATGTTTCGATCTATCATAAATAAATGTGTTCTAGACAAAAGGACATGGATCAAAATATGCATACGACAACTATTTAAGATGTGAAAATCAGAGAATCTGCAGATTTTTATTTTAGAGACAAAATCTAATCATCGAGGAAGCGCAAGAGGGGCACCGGGCACCGCATGAAAGGCGGATTCGGTCGGGCGCGCTGTGTGCTGCGGTCGAGAATACGAATGCGCTGTCACAGAGGCTGGATCTGCGGAAGCGAGAATAATGAGAGGAGCGGCGGGACGGCTCAGGCACTGGAGCCCAGCTCTGGGTGGTGGCTGGCTGGCCAGTGGTCGCTTCGGTCCGGGAGGCGTTGGAGAGTGGAGATCGGTGAAGGCCGGGAGGGAGAGGCTCACCGATGGCAGATCGAGACTAGTCGACGACCGGCGGATGGCCTGCGCCGTCCGAGGAGCGGCCAGGCCTTGGGCAGTTGATGCGTCGGCGTCGAGGAATTTGGGGTGCAGGTGTGCCGCACTAACGCATGCTGCGGTCTCGCAAATGTGGAGACGGGAAGGAGTGGGGGAGGTTAATAGATGCGTTTTTTCGGTAATCTCACGCCGTGGGGGTGATTTAGGCGCGAAATTAAAATGTTCGAGCCCTCCACTACGCGGCAAGTTTTTGCAATTGTACACTACAAAATAGGCGGCAAGACAAAATACGTTCATACTGATCGAGTAGTGAAGCCGGCTATCACTGCCAATTCAGACCACAACCTAGTAGCGATATGACATGATCGAGCATGCATAAGTTGTTGAAACACTTGAGGAGTTAGCACATTTGAAAAGGGGTGAAAAACTAAGTGTTTGGAGGCTTTTGGTAGGCACCGGATATAACTCCGGTGGTGATTAGGACATACCTCCTTCGGATGCACCCGCTGATCCTCCAACCGTTATGCAAGGTCCAATGACTCGAGCTCGAGAATGTGACAACTAAATTTATAGGTGACCTCATTCTTAAACGATCCTTTGTATAGTTTTGAGAATAGATTACTACCTAACGGTGTTATCCTATTTAGAAACATTGAAGAGGGTCATGTGGGACTTGGAGGAAGGTGTGGAGGCGGAGAAGACCAGCAAGGACGCCCAACATAAGCTGGAGGCCCAGTTCAACTAGACTTCGAAGTTATCATCACCTGACACCGTCAGACTGGACAATGATTGATAGAGACCAAGTTACTATAGTGCACCATCTTTATCTCAGAATGGCATTGCCTTATTAGTATTATATATGATAGCCCACTTAAAATCCTATTGTGCAGTTTGTTTTCACTGGTATATACTTTGTAGCAATGAAAATGCCCCGAATTTATTATGTATAGAATGAGTAATGTGAATGATAGGATTCTGTACCAGATTGTTCCTATGGTTAGTATGGCACACGTTGCCTGATGTATGATGATGATGTAACTTTGCATGGTTTACTTTTGCTATTGCCGTGCGAGCCCATGGTAGAAATCATTACGATTTGCAGGCAAGTAATAAAGAATATATAAGATATTATATTATGAGATGCTCAAATATTGACACATCACTTTGGGTCAAAACTTGGCCCATGTAAGCCAAAAGCCCACACCAAACCCTCACCCTCCTGCTTTCCCCTGCCTCTGCTCTGTGCCGCCAGCTTCTGCTCGGCGCCGCCCGTGTTCACGTCGGCGAGGAGGGCCGAGTTCCGGCCGACTTCCTTGGAGCGGAACCCGAGCCCACGCCCGCGTGGCACGCCGCAGGCCAGCGCACCCGATCCCAGAGGCCGGAAAGGAAGACGCCCGTGGCCCTGACGAATCCCCCGGCTCCCCTGCTCTGTGCCTCCGACACGCCGCCGGCCCCGAGGTCGCCGGCCCCGAGGTCGGTGGCCTTGAGATTTTCCTTGGCTTTTGAGATTCCAACTGACGATTAGCTAGCTTGCTGTGTTGAATTTGCTTCGCTATGTGAGGGATTAGCTAGGACCATAGTGTTGGTTTCTGAAACTACACCGACGCCGACTGTCCGTACGTGTTCGAGACTCCAAGCTGACGACCGAGTGCCGAGCGACCGTCGACCAAGCAAAAAAATTTGGACCCACCACTAGAGCAGTAGCTCATGCTCAGATTCAATGGCGGGTCAAACACGTAGCCCAGATAGACGCAAGACTATCATGAAATTTGCCCAAGAATCTACTACTACTTATCATTTTAAGGCCCACGAGTATTGTTTTTTCCCTCAAAACAATTCAAGGTCCACGTGAAAGCGTCCTCAACTATGGAAGCATGCTTCTTTTTAGCATAACTACGGAAGCATGCTGGCTGGCCAAATGTTTCACGGGCCGTATCTAATATGGCCCATACGTGCCGGATACACGTATCTAAGTGAATACGTATCCAACATTTTGAGTACGGCCTGGATACGTATCCATGGCTTATCCGAGGCCTATCTGTATCCGTGGCGTGCGTGTCGGATACGGGATATCCGCGCATCACAGCCCATGCCCCGTCGGTCGACCCCGGACTCCCCGAGCCCCTCGATCGGCGCCGCTTCTTTCCTTCTCGATCTGGTAACTCCATCTTTTGCTGCACAGTGTTTATAGAAACTTTTTGCATATAGCTGTACAGAAGTCAATATTCCATTATATACAAGTAACAGTGGCAAAAGGTCTGTACTGGAATTATGTCAACAAGGGAAAAAATCATTGAGAAAATATGGACTACTAAAGAAAATATGCAATACAAAATCTGGGTGCTGCATTGCAGAAGTCTGTAGATCAACAGAATATTATTTGATGGTTATTGCTAAGCTGAATGAATCAAATAAGAAAGACAAGGGGGAAAGCAGTCCTGGCTTGCACCCCCCCACCTGATTACTATAAGATTAATTGTAGTGATGCCTCCTCCTTATGCTATGATTCCATGAAAGGAGCAGGGGATTCCATTGCCCGTAACTGCAGCAGAGAGAGTTCTGGAAACTTGCAATTGCAGACTCTCTACATGACTTTCTTTTTTTCTAAAGTGGAATAATTGCAGACTCTCAAAACTCATATTGTATGGTTTAATTCACTACTGATATTAATCTGCCTCAGATATGTTTTCTTTTTACTAAATGTCTAAACTTTGTATATTTTTATGCCTTGTGTTAATGTGAAATTGTGTCATCGTTTTCATTTAGTCATGGTTGAGCAACTTGGACTCGATCATGGTTAGTTTGAGTACTCAAATTAAGGAAGTTAGTTCATCTACCATAGAAACTAATAATCTTAATTAATTTTGTTGCTGCCAGTCAAGTACTATTTTTCGTACTCAAACATGTCTTGCAAAAAAAAAAAAACTGATTGATTTCATTTCATTCTTACTTCTTGTTAGAGGGTCATGGATCGAAGTTGGATGAGTAAGCCAAGACAGGATACTGCATATCAAGATGGTGTTGAGCAATTTTTGACTTTTCGCCACGGGACATTCCACGTGATAGCGAGATACTTTGTCCTTGCAAAAATGCAAAAACAGATTAAACCATAGCCATGATGAAGTCAGGACACATTTGAGATGTGATGGTATTATTCAAGGTTATCGACCTGGGTTCATCATGGAGAGATGTATGAAAGTCCACAATTTGCATTTGTTGACGTGCCAACTGACACTACAAACTTGCCTACTTCGGGTGTCTCAAGGGCTCCTGCAGTACAAGATGGCATGCAAGAACTACTTCAAGCTGCCTTTTTCAGGAATGAAATGTTTGAGTCACTACCAAGTATGTCTGAAGGTGTAGTAGATGTTGAATCAGGATTTGCAGATATGGAACAAACTGTAGCTGAGGATGTGCATCCTGCAGATGACAATGCTAAGGAGAGTGAACAGAATCTATATGAAAGATACTTGAAGGATGCACACACAAGCTTATATCCTGGGTGTAAATTTTCTAAGTTGTCATTTTTGGTAAACTTATATCACTTAAAATGCTTAAATGGCTGGACACAAGAATCATTTACAAGACTTCTAGGTGTGCTATCTGATTCATATCCTCCTCATGTAGACCTACCTAAGACATATTATCAAGTGAAGAGAATCATCCGTGCTTTAGGCCTTGACTATGTGAAAAGACATGCTTGCCCCAAAGATTGCATGCTTTTCCGAGGAAGTTCAACTAAGAAAGATTTTTGTGATGTGTGCGAGAGCTCTCATTTGGAAAGATTTTAAGAAGAATGGTTCTCTGATTAGACCTAAGAAGAAAAAGAAACCAACGAAAGTGTTGCGCTATTTTCCATTGATACCGAGGCTCCAAAGGTTATTTTCAACTACCAAAACTTCAGAAGACATGAGATGGCATGAGGACGGACGCACAAAAGGCGGAAAAATGCGACATCCAATGGATGGTGAAGCTTGGGAAGATTTTAATCGTAGATATCCTAAATTTGCAGCAGATGCTCGTAATGTACGCCTTGGTCTTGCAAGTGATGGATTTAACCCTTTTGGGAATATGAGTTCAAACTTCAAAGCACAAAGACATGCCCTGTAATGTTGGTTCCTTACAACTTGCCACCTTGGATCCGCATGAAGCAAACATCCTTATTGTTGTCAATGATCATTCTGGACCGGATTCTCCGGGAATGATGTTGATATATACTTACAACCCTTGATCGATGAGCTCTTAGAATTATGGAAAGGAGTGCAAACATGTGATGCCTCTTCTCGAAAGAAATTTCTCTGCGAAAGCTGACCTTTGTTGTGGACTATAAATGATTTTCTGCATTAGCTTACCTATATGGCTGGAGCACAAGTGGTACATATGCATGCCCATCATGTGGTCCAGCAACAAAATCATTTCACCTGAAGAATGGTAAAAAGATGTGCTATATGGGACATCGTGAGGTGGCTCCGTGGAACCACATATATCGAAGGCAAAAGAACGGTTTTGATGGCATGGTAGAGGTTGAACTTGCTCTGAAATAATGAGTGGTACTTCTATTTTAAAAATGTTAGAAGGTAGAGAGTTTTGTTTTAGGAAAAGGACCTCACAACAAAGAATACAAAGGGAAATAACAAAGGAAAAAAGAAAGGAAAGCAAGGTGATGAAAGCCATCAGAAATCCAAGCGTAAAAGAGGACAAAAAGAAAGCAGAAAGATGGGAACAATGGCAAGAAGGAGAAGAAGCCGGAAGATTGGTTGAAAAAGCGGTCAATATTCTTTCGGGGTTACTATACTGGGAAAAGAACAAACTAAGGCACAATCTAGATGTGATGCACTTAGAGAAAAATCTATGTGACAACTTAATTGGAACTTTAATGGATATTCCTTCCAAAACAAAGGATGGTCTTAAAGCACATTGGATTTAGTGGAACTTGGAATTCGACACAATCTTCATCCTGTGGTAGATAATGAAGGAAAGCAAACCGTGCTCGATGCACCTTTTACCATGTCTAGAGAAAAAAGGAGGTTCTCTGTTCAAGATTCCAAAACCTAAGAACACCGATGGCTATGCATCAAACATTTCTAGGTGTGTTAACATGAAAGATTGTACATTGACTGGACTAAAAAGTCACGACAATCATGTTTTACTACATGACATCCTTCCAGTGGCACTCCGATTCTGTTACCTCAAACAAAGATGTCATGGAAATAGTTATTGGAATATCTAATTTCTTTAAGAAGTTATGCTCGAAGGTGATAGATCTTGATGAGCTACAAACCCTTCAAGAGAGTATTGTGGTAACACTACGTAATATGGAGAAAATTTTCTACCATCATTTTTTATCGTGTGATGCACTTGATGGTGCATTTGGTAGAAGAAGTTAGACTTGGTGGCCCTGTTCACTACCGGTGGATGTACCCCATGGAGAGGTATGTAATTACATTTTGCGGGGTTATTGTCAATAATTTGTTCAACTAACAACAAGTGTTCATGATTTCATTTAGATTTTTTTGTTCGGCTTAAAGCGCTTGTGAAGAAACAGAGCTCAGCCGGAAGGTTCGATTCTGTGAAGGGTATTGCATGGAGGAGTGCATGACATTTTGTTCCAGATTTCTTGATGGAGATACTCGCTTTAACAGACCGGCTAGAAATCCCGAACCTTCGAGCAATATGAAAGATATGTACATGTTTGAGAGTCTTTGGAGAACCAATTGGAAAAGCTACTTGTAAGCCATTTTGATAGCCACTTCTTATTCGGGCACATCGACACGTGTTGCGACCTGCGATGAACTTGAAGAATTCCGCAAGTGTGTACTATAATTTCTCTTGACTCTATTTTAAATTTTATTATGTTGAAGCCATCATGTATAACAAATAATCCATTGTTGTAGAGAGTTTGTGGATGAGGAGAAAGGAAAATCGTGTCCTTCAACTACTTTGACTCTGGCTTCCATCGATAAGTTGATAGACCAAAGCACTTCCACGATTGGTTGGAACAGAAGGTAGTACAACTGAAATAGCTTATTAGGCGAGGAGTCTAATAGAATGAATTGATCTAATAATTAATTTCTTCACTACAGGTTATCCTAGGTGATGGACTAGGAATCACTAAAAAGTTTGAGCTTTGGTGCCAAACCGAGCAGACATGGTGTGAGATACTGCGCTATATTATTAATGGTTTCAGGTTCCACACATTGAGTCGTGAGGCTGCAAAGGTCGACACAAAATAGTGTAGTGAACATTGCAGAAGATGGGGTTAATTATTATGGCAGATTAACAGATATAATAGAACCGACATACATCGACTACAAGGTTGTTCTTTTCAAATGTGATTGGTATGATGTCCATCATCGTGTTGGTTTTCTGTAAACGATGAGTTTGGATTACCACTTGTGAATTTTTCAAAGAAAATACACACGGGGAAAAACTGGAGCATGATCCTGTGTCTTTTCTTCACAAGTGGAGCAAGTCTTTTATGTTGAACACCCAAAAGCTGAAGGATGGAATTCTGTGGTAAGATTTAAGCCACGAGATACTTTTGACATGGGTGATGATGAACTGCCACCGGATGAAGCAAATTAGTATTATCAGGCTTTTTTTGAGAGTATGTGGACAATTGAGTGCCACTAATTTTGACATACATAAATATAATAATAATTATTCAGGTTGCACTTATTACAAGGCATATTTGTTTCAGGTTACTCTTGTCTATGCAGGAGGGTGTGTGTTGCTCTGTTTCACCCAGGTGATGGATGTGTTCCTGCATGATGCTTTGTTTCTGTAGGCTGCTAGCATGTGTTTTCTTTGTAATATGTTTTTTAAGAAGTTTCATTTACAATTGGTGGTCTAAGTGAGAAATCAATGCCACTCACATGTAATGCTTGAATTATTGAGAAATTGAGTCCAGTAATTTATAGATTGGTCGTATGATTGAGAAATTGAGGTTAGTCATATGATTGAAAAAGCAGCATGTGTTTTCTTTTGCTTGAATCTTTGAGTGAAAATTATGAAATTGTTGAGCGTGTGAAAATTTTGGAAAAATATGGGGAAAAACATGTATTTTATTTGGCTTGAATTGTTGCGAGAAAATTATGGAATGTTGAGTGTGAGAACATTTTTTTATGAATAATATGGAAAAAATATAGGCAAGGAAGTTTTGACCTCTTGACCACGTGTAGAGAATTAGGGAAAGGTTACCACAACACTACATGTTCAAAAAAAGCATTTTTAGATAGTTATTGACGGTAAGCTGATACACTTTATCACGTATCTACAAGCATGTAACGGTCAAATAGAGTCTAATTTTGTGTTAGCTTGATATGTTTTTATTATCGTATCAAAAGGTGTCTTTACGTGCCTATAAACAATTGTTTGATACGTTCTGTGACGTGTCTAGATGGTACAAACGATATGAAGCATCTCTATATCTATAACGTTTTGTGGCGTTTTTAGTATCGTGACAATTAGTGTGTTTAGATATATATGGACGGTGTTATGACACACTTTATAACGTGTCTAGACGCTATTGATGATTAAAAGCATGTCTAACACTGTGTCATTTTGATACATTTCCAAAATCGTCTCGAGAAGTGTCTTTACATGTCTTGTAACAGTGAAAGCGTGTCAAATGTCGTATCCAGTTGACACGTTTCCAAAGTCGTGCTTAGAAGCGTCGTTACGTGCCCATGTACATACGCTTTCAACCAGCGTCACAAAGAAAACGTGTCTAGAGGGGGGTGTTTCTTGTAGCGCTTCTGACCAAATTGGCAGCGAAGGCCGACTCAGTTCCTAATTTCTCTTTGGTGGATGGCCTCATACATTATAAAGACAGACTGTGGGTGGGCAACAACACATCCCTGCAACAACAGTTGATTGCGCAGATACATAGCTCTCCTATTGGCGGTCATTCGGTAATTCCAGCCACTGTCAAGCGGCTGCAGGCCCTCTTTGCCTGGCCCGGTCTCAAGAAACATGTTCATGACTTTGTGAAGAGCTGCCCTACATGCTAGGAAGCCAAGCCTGAGCGAGTTAAATACCCAGGCCTCTTACAGCCACTCCAGACACCTTCAGCAGCCTAGCAGGTGATATCACTTGACTTCGTTGAAGGGTTGCCCCAGTCACATGACTTCAACTGCATTCTGGTAGTTGTTGACCTTTTCTCCAAATATAGCCATTTCGTTGCCATGAAACATCCCTTCAGTGCCCTTTCGGTGGCCAAGCTCTTCATGATTCACATTTACCGGCTCCATGGTCTTCCAACTGCGATCGCTCTCAGATCGTGACCGCATCTTCCCCAGTCATCTGTGGCGTGAGCTGTTCCGTCTCTCCGGGTGGAGCTGAGAATGAGTTCAACATATCATCCTCAGTCCGATGGACAGACTGAGCGTGTGAACCAATGCATGGAAACCTTCCTCCGGTGTTTTGCAAACGCAGTACCCTCTAAATGGTTTGACTGGCTACATTTGGCAGAATTTTGGTACAACACCACATGGCATTCCTCTTTACAGCAATCACCATTTCAGGCACTCTATGGATAGTCTCCTAGACAGTTGGGTATTGATGCATCTGCTGCATGTGCTCCGGACTCTTTAGCTGAGGTGATGCAGCAGAAGTCTGCTATGCAGGCATTGATCCAGCAACACCTTGCTCGGGCCAAGAATCGCATGAAAAGTCAGGCGGACAAGAAACGAACAGAACGGTCCTTCAATGTGGGTGATTGGGTCTATGCTAAGCTCCAGCCCTATGTCCAAACATCAGTGGCGCCTCGCGCTAACCAAAAGCTGGCTTACCGTTTCTTCGGGCCGTACCAGATTATGGACCGTATTGGTTCTGTCGCCTACAAGTTGCTTTTGCCGGAGAATCCACCATTCATCCGGTGTTTCATGTTTCGCAGCTGAAAGGTGCTGTCCTAGTTGCTCTTCCTGCCTCTCCATTACCAGTTTCATTCACTGGCCTGCAGGTTCCTGAGCGTATTCTTCAGAAGCGAGTCTCCAGCACAAATTCAGGTGTTGATCTCCAAGCTCTGATTCAGTGGTCGGGGCTACCCGCTGCACTGGCAACATGGGAGGATGTTGAAGCCCTTCGTCAACGCTTTCCGCACGCACCAGCTTGGGGGCAAGCTGGTTCCTATCAGGGAGGGGATGTCAGCGGCACTTCTACCTCAGCTTCTGAACATGGCGGCAAGACAAGCGACGTCGCTCAGGAGCGTGAACGCGACGTCGCCCAAACTGAATATGTCATCCTGGGCCCAAGGCATGGTATGCGTATGAAGAAGCAAAGTGTTCGAACCCAAGGCCCAGAGTGGGCGTGACCAGCCCAGCTGAAGATGGCGTGAGAGAGTAGCTTAAGTAGCCGAGAGAGAAGGGGAGACATCATCAAACAACAGAATACTTGTAATATTGTTAAGCACTCCTCTGTTCTATGAACTTCGTCTGAACTTGCTGTGCTCTTCGATCTGTATTCTGTTCTTCCGATTCCCAACTGTGCCGTTAATGGCTCGCAGGAGCCTCGACGACGGGAACAGGTCCTCGGCGCCCCACGTCATGGCCTTAGGCCAGCGTGGCCATGAACTCGTCCCGCCACCTGAACCGCTCGCCCATGATGGCGCGCAGAACGGTGTCGGAGCGCACGTCTGTGGCGATGGCGCGGGCGAGGTGCGCGGCCTCATCCTCCCGGATGGAGCGGAAGGATCGAACGCGCCTTGCGCTCAGAAGCTCCGTCGTGCAGATCCTGCGGAGCCTCCGCCACATGGCGCCGTGGGGCGACAGGACGAGCCCCACCTTGTCTCCGATGGTGGCTCTGATGGTCGCGGTCATGGTCCCGGTGGCGAAGTTGGTGTCGTTCTCCCTGATGACTTCGCGTGCGGCGTTGGCCGACGAGAAGACGACGGCGTGAAGCTCGCCTAGCCGGATGTACATGACGGGGGCGTCCCAGCGGCGTGCGAGGACGGCCAAGGCACGGTGCACGAGGCGTGGATTTTCCATGGTCATTAGGTGATGGAGTGTGCCAATTACCGGGAGCTGCCACGGTCCCGGCGGCAACCTTGTCCCTGGCGCAGAAGGTAGACAATGCAGATCGAGGAGTACTAGAGCTAGAAGGACGAAGAGCATAATAATCATATATATGCACAGCTCCATGGCTTTGCTCCACTATGATGTTAATGATGTAAACAAGACGAGGAACTGGGCTAATATAATGAACATGTAAATTCAGCCTCAGGCTGTATATTTATGGATAGAGTTGTAACAGCGGGAGGAAATAGATGCCGTGTCTAAGGGCATCTCCAATAGTTCCTAAAATAAATCACTTGGTAAGTTAATGAGTTTTTCAAATGACTAAAAAAAATTGGAACTGTTTTTAAAATCTCACTCCTAATAAGATAACTTTGCATCAAGAATCACGAGCTATTTCTAAATCACTTTAACCACTTTTATACTTTCTTTATCTCTGGTGCATTTACTTTATGAACCTGTCCTACTCCTTATTCTTCCTAATATTCTTTCACCTTCCGATTGCCTGATGGATACGTGCGTTGCGAGAGAGCATTTCGAAGAGTTTAAACAAACCACTCCCGGTCTTAATTTTTGGCAAGATTGAAAAAAGTGCTCTCCAACAACTCTCTACTTAACTCCCAATCTTTCCGCACTTGGAAAAATCAGCCTAGTCATGCAGAAATATACACACGCATATCTATCGACCAATCTGGATGTGGAAGGATGTGGTGAAAAATAAAGAGGATAGGACTCCCAATGCAAATATACAAGAGAGAAAGAAAGTATATGTAACACCCTAAAATTTGCCTGTTTTGAAAATAGGTATAAAATGAGTTATTTGTGAATTTTGTGCTCATAAAAACCTAGGAAAATAAAATTTTTCATTAAATTAAAATTCATCATAAGGTTTAGCAACATGTTTGTGCATACATGCCCTTGCATTTGATGTATTTGATTGAATTGGTTTTGAAAATAAAATAGCAAAGGAAATTCTCTCTTTCCCTATTTAGGCCCGAAGGCCTATCTCTCTTGCTCCCTGCGGCCAGCTCTTCTTCTGGTTTTTTCTGCGCGTCCAGCTCATCCCGCGCCTGTGGCCCA